AAAAGGTATCCATGTGAGCTCAGCCGGCAAGGAAAAACCTAGTGGAGGAAGCGGGTCACTGTGTGAGAAGAAGAAGAAGAAGAACAGGAAAATACTCGTCCTAGCACACACACAGCCCCCACCCCCCTTTTACACACATGACCCCCCACCCCAAAAGTGGCCTGTGACCTCATAGGATCTGTGTTGATCTGACACATGTAGGGTCCTCGATCTTCCTCCTGGACGCCTCGTATGTGCAGCATCCATGTGTTGTGATCACTATGAGTCACCGACACTCTGGAGTTGTGGGTGATGACGTGTTTGTGGATGGCTTGTATGGCCTTGGTGTCTGCCTTCACCCACCCGACCTGCCGACCATACAGGGTGTTGTGGGTGGAGGGTGGTGGGTCCTGTAAGAAAGGTGTGTGGAGGGCGGGTGGAGGAGGTGAGGGAAGGAGGATGGTGGGTGGAAGAGGGAGGAAAGGGTGTAGGTGAGGGAAGGAGGAAGGGCGGAGATGAGAGAAGGAAAGAGAGTAGAGGTGAGGGTAAAAAGGGTGGGAGGAAGAAGATGGATGGGCGGAGAGTAAAGGTGTAATAGACTGGGGTGGGTGGAGTGAGCACAAGAGGGTGGAGGTGGCTAAGTGTGTTGTGTGGTGGTGTATGGTGTTGTGTGGTGCTGTGTGGTGGTGGTGTTTGGTGTAGTGTGTGGTTGTAGTAGTGTGTGGTTGTAGTAGTGTGTGGTAGTAGTAGTAGTAGTAGTAGTAGTAGTAGTAGTATAAACACTGCCACACAAATATCAGAAGAAGTCAGACCAGAATAACCCACAGGTAGAGAAAAGTAGATTAATTAGACTGATCCACAGGTAGACGTAAAGGTAGATGAAGCCTAATTAACACAGGTAAACAAGGACGTCACCTCACAAGCAATGATAAACAAAAACAAATATGACGATGAATTGAGGAACAGAGGCAAAAAATGATAGATAGATAGATAGATAGATAGATAGATAGATAGATAGATAGATAGATAGATAGATAGATAGATAGATAGATAGATAGATAGATAGATAGATAGATAGATAGATAGATAGATATGCAATGAAAAACAGATATAAGGTATAAGGTATTGGGACTAATTAGCATAAAGGTAAATTGCTATAAAGGTTAGTATGACATAATTTGGTATATAAACAGTTTATACAGCCAGGTCTATAATTCAATACTTGTATATCTTATAAAAAGTTAATGGATCTAGTATTTATATGAACAGAAGTTTATATAATAGTATTGGTATAACATAAATATATAATAGGTTCTATGTTACATGTTCAGGTGAATTGATTTTACCTGTTTTATTAATGAGATCAGGTGTAACGCTACTACTACTACTACTACTACTACTACTACTACTACTACTACTACTACTACTACTACTACTTATTATAATCATCACAACCAACACTAAATTCTTCATTAATTCCCCAAATCAAAGAAATGAGACAGGAATAAATAATATGAATTAATGACCAAAAAAATATAAATATTATGAAGTATATATTTTGGTCACACACACACACACACACACACACACACACACACACACACACACACACACACACACACACAGCAAAGGAACTGCGATCTAATGTACCGAGGAGGGAGGAAAGCAGCGGGAGGAGGGGGAGGGGAAGGAGGATGGGAGAAAAGAAAGGAGAGGAGAGAATTACGGTCATTTGGAGGAAGCACAGACAGTGATGGAGGAAGAATGCATTCAGGTGGCAGAATGGTGAGGCAGTGGAGAGAAGGAGGGAATGTGTTTGGATGTTGGAGAGTTGAGAAAAATATATTGTGGATAGTGAGGGAAAGAAAGAGAGAGGTAGGAAAGGAGGGAGGGAAGGAGGGAGAAAGGGAGGGAAGGAGGGAGAAAGAGAGGGAGGGAGGGAGTGGACGTTGGTACAAAACTTTGCCAATTAATACAAGGCATGAATACATCAAAGTGCCTTGCTTCCCTCCAGCCCCGGGCGACACACACACACACACACACACACACACACACACACACACACACACACACACACACACATTACGTAATAACTTTGACTGTTTTTCCTCAATAAGTTAATCTAAAGAGTAAGAGAAAAGTAAGAAATATATTTTTACTGAAGAAAAATATCTCGTAAGTTTTTAAGTTATATTTTGAGAATTGAAGAAAAAAATTACCATAAAGTTTACGACAAAAATATTTCTCTTAGGGAGGACGACTAAAAAGTTTTACCTAAGAAAGTATCGAGTAAGATTAGGAATATTTATTTGTTTACATTTTAAGGGAAAAATCAATTAAATGAGGAACAAATTTTGCTTTTTATTCATGAAAAAATTCTTCAAAATTATCAGGATATTAACACACACACACACACACACACACACACACACACACACACACACACACATAAATTTCTTTGTATTGATGAGTTGCCAATAGAACAAGATAAGTAAGTAAACAAATGAATTAAAATACAAATAAATAAGTAAAAATACAAAATAATGAAGAAAATACAAAATACATTATTCAAATTTATACAACAAATAAACATTGACTATACACACACAGATATACGGTCATACACTTATTAAAACCCCTAATCTAATCCAACCAAACGTAGATTAAGTTAGGTTAGATTAGGTTAAGTTAAGTTAAGTTACGTTAAAATCTATTAAATTTCATAAAACTAAAATAATTGAATCATGTTTTTTTTATCAATCTAAAATATAAAAACATTTATATTATGACCCGGCGTTAATGTTTTTTTCTCGGGTATATGAACCTGAAATTAAGATTATATTAGAGGCGAGTTTTGTCTGTTTGTCTGGAAATCTGTCTCTCTGTCTGTCGTGAATCTGTCTGTCTGTGACTCTATATGTCTGTATACCAGTGAATCTGTCTGTCTGTGACTCTATATGTCTGTATACCAGTGAATCTGTCTGTCTGTGACTCTATATGTCTGTATACCAGTGAATCTGTCTGTCTGTGACTCTATATGTCTGTATACCAGTGAATCTGTCTGTCTGTGACTCTATATGTCTGTATACCAGTGAATCTGTCTGTCTGTGACTCTATATGTCTGTATACCAGTGAATCTGTCTGTCTGTGACTCTATATGTCTGTATACCAGTGAATCTGTCTGTCTGTGACTCTATATGTCTGTATACCAGTGAATCTGTCTGTCTGTGACTCTATATGTCTGTATACCAGTGAATCTGTCTGTCTGTGACTCTATATGTCTGTATACCAGTGAATCTGTCTGTCTGTGACTCTATATGTCTGTATACCAGTGAATCTGTCTGTCTGTGACTCTATATGTCTGTATACCAGTGAATCTGTCTGTCTGTGACTCTATATGTCTGTATACCAGTGAATCTGTCTGTTCTGTAAGTCTGTCTTTTGGTCTGTGACTCCTTGGTTGCAAAGACATATTAAATCTTGCATGCAACAGCTGGCAATAGTGCATCATTAAGAAGGTGACTCTAGTTAAATTAGATTGGCTTTGCTTAATTAAGGTAATTTGAGAAATATGAAGATAATTTATGAAATATTAAGATAAATTATGAAATATTAAGATAATTTATGAAATATTATGAAGATTTGAGAAATATTAAGATAATTTATGAAATAATAAGATAATTTATGAAATATTAAGATAATTTATGAAAATATTAATATAATTTATGAAATATTAAGAAGATTTGAGAAATATTACGATAATTTATGAAATATTAAGAATATTTGAGAAATATTAAGATAATTTGTGAAATATTAAGATAATTTATGAAATATTAAGAATATTTGAGAAATATTAAGATAATTTATGAAATATTAAGAATATTTGAGAAATATTAAGATAATTTATGAAATATTAAGATAATTGAAAAATATTAAGATAATTTGAAGAATAAGATAACTGGAGGAACCAAACCTTAGGTGCACAAGAAGACAGATATGGTGATTAGTTATCTTAGTTAAGAGTAATGTATATACTTAATCTACCTTAACAATACATAGTTTGCCTAGAGAGGTGATAACAGCGGTATGAATTAAACCTCTTGAATAACACTGTATAAGAGGCAGAGAAAGGGAGATGAAGTATACTGAGTAATAACGATGGGTAAAGTAACACTGAATTAAGACAGCAGGTGAAGAAAGGAGGAAGAAGAACATAGGTCAAAAAGCTAACTAAAACCATCTATGTGGGTGAGTGAGTAAGGGAGTGAGTGAGTGAGTCAGGGAGGGCTTGAGTGAGTCAGGGAGGGCTTGAGTGAGTGAGTGAGCGAGTGAGTGAGGGGGTGAGGGAGGTAGTGAGAGACGAGGCTCACCTGCAAGGCGTCCTTCCTGCCTGGCGACGACTAAATCACACAAGTTAAGGAATGAGTTTGTGGCTTGTTGAGGCTAAAGGGTTCAAGATGTTTATTAGTTCATGTGGCCCAGTCAGCCACACAGGTGCCAGCTAGCCACACAGGTGCCAGCTGGCCACACAGGTGCCTGATAGCCACACAGGTGCCTCAGTACCTGCTGGACCTGCTGGTCACACAGGTGTCACAGTACCTGCTGGACCTGGTCCTGGTGGACACACAACACTACCTGTATGACCTCCAGGTCTCAGGTCAGCAGGTCCCAGCACCCATGAGGTACCTCATACTGGACATTCTTCAACTAACAGTACAACTCGCAGAAACTTTTGGTGGAATATTTTCATGAGTTTAATAATTTTAGCTGAACTTTGAACTAATTATTGATAACTAACCCAACTACTACAAAATCTACGCCAGTTAAAGAAATATATATACTGTATATATGCGTAACTGGTGATAAAGAGAAACTTACGCATTATAGAACGACAAATAGAAAATAATTCAAGACGAGGAAAATATATATCATTTGGAGAATATATTTTGTTATCTAATATTTACAGATAAACTACTTGGAAGCCAAATATATATCATCTCATGCTGATAACGTAGAGTGCGTGATAACTCTCTCCTGGACATGAACAACTATGGTTAATAAGGGTGTGTGAGCAGCGCATTACTGGGTGTGTGAGATGTGCGAGGGAGAATGCGGTGTCGGGAGTGAGAGAGAGAGAGGGAGAGAGAGAGAGAGAGGGTGAGAGAGTGTATATGAGAGATAAAATGAGAGAGAGTGGGAGAGGAGAGATAGCGGACAGGTTTTGAGAGGACCATCCACCATCACTACCACCACTACTACCACCATCTTTCTCACTACCACCACTATCACCACCACCACCACCTCTCTCACCACCACACCACACACGTCAATATTTAATTCCTCGTATAAATACACACAATTCTGCCTC